AATTTTTACACGCTTGAACGACATAATCGGCTCAAACCCATCCACCTGTCACGGGTATTATCCGCTTCATCCCGAATGCCTTTTCGATCCATGTACCCTTGCGTGAGGAAAGTGTGGAAAGACGGAATTAATTAAACGCATTCGGGCAGAGATGAGCGAGGCTTCCTCCCCGGAAGGGCGATTGTATCATCAGCCCTCGTTATGAGTTTATCCCTGCGAGTCGACGAGCTTTTCCAATGTCAATAATGATGCGTTAGGGTACTTATCACCGCATCAAAGAAGACATAAGCTTAAGGAGCCCTATAAAGAGTTAAATTTTACGAGGCTGTACGAGGGAAGCGCATCAAAAGTTTATCAATCTGTTGGTCACGATAGATTCACCTTATCTATTTCACTCTGTCTCTTCTTCTTTCCCTCTTTTTTTCACTGTCAATCCAACGTCGCCATTGCACTTCGTCGTCATGCACGCACGAGAGAATTTACGCGAAAGCTTTTTATAAACTATTGTCTCGTCGATTATATGAAGAGTCGCGCAGAGCGTAACGTCGATTCTATAAGCGCGCTGTTAAAGTCGTCAGAATGAAATCACTTCGCGGATGTGATACCGCGCTCTCTGCCGCCGCTCGTGCACACTGCCGACCGAATGTGGCATTCTTACGTCTTTATTTTTATCACGCGAACCGTGCGACGCGATGCGGCTAACGAGGTCCTTCGATTTCTCCCCTCTGGGGATGACTCTCTGCACGACAGACTACGAAACGACGCAGAGGATTTCCATCTTTGCTTTCGACGATCCTGAGAACTCCCCGGTGAGGAGTACTGTCCTTTCGTCATTGTCGTCATCGTCGTTTTCAAGGGATTCAGTCCCAGATCTGTCTCGCGAACGTGAGACTTCCGGCGACCGCGCTCGTAATTCGAAAGGGTGAAGGCTCGCCTACAATACGCGGAGTAAACTTAACCTTAAGTTGGAGTACGAAGTAGAAATATTTTATTTTGCTTAGGCCTTCCCCTTTTCTCGAGGTTTTTTACACCAAAAGTATCTCTTTTAAGACGATGCTGAATATCGATCTAACGCAATTTCGTAGTCCTCTATTATTAATTATGTATCAAATTGAAAATGTTTTTGCAGGGTAAAATCATAAACGTTAATGAGTGGCTAATACTAAACAATTGCATGAAATTAACAAATAATTTCTTATAATCAGTCGGTAAATAAAAAATTTTTTATTGATTCCGTGCAACAGTTTAGTATTCGCCATTCATTAATGTTTGTACTTTCACCCTGTAAAATTACTTTCAAATTGATACATTCAATTAGAAGAAAAGAAAAACTACGAAACTACGTTATGTCAGTATTCAGCATCGCCTTAAGGGGACGCTAGAGACAAACGCCAAAAACGTGAATGACGTAGAGACAATCGTTACTAATACAATCACGCTATCCTTTTCATATTTCTTGTACATATAGATCTTATGTAAAAAAAAACGAAGCGTTGTTTTATTTTGCCATATTTAGCAGTATACCTAATCATACATATATAGAAATATTTCTGCAAATTTTTCCGATATTTTTAAGCTTCTAAATTCGGATAAAAGTACAGGAATGTTCTTAAAAATGTTTCTGAGCGAAGCAAACTCGTGTATGTTTACTTTAACTGACAGCGTATGACAGGCAAATTTACACTCAAAATGTCAACTTTGAAATCTTGTATCATTTTTGTCATGCATTGAGCAATGCTTCAACTCACTTCTCGCACCATTTCGATTGTATGAGAGTATTTATAATTCTATGCAGCCAATACAACGTAAATTGTGCGGAAAATAGTCAATATTCTGTCGGTAAAGATTTCCAGCATCTTCTTAAAAGAAATGCTTCCGGCGTAAGGGGGATAGAGTATGGGTGTAAGCAAGATAAATTATTTTTATTTCTCATTCCAAATCTGCACGCCAAGCTCCATACTCCGCGTATTTTAAACGAGCCTTGAAAGGTGGCGGTAGTCCTCGATGCACCAGGTGCATCGTAGTATGCGGAGCATCGACAGCTTTCATGACGCCACGCGCTTGTTTGCGGAACGGTGTTTGCGTTGATGATACAATTGTATGCACGATGTAGGCTTTGGCCAGCGCGGCCACTCGTATGTTGATGGCAACGACGTGCATAGGCTGCGCGCACGCTGGATATCTCTGTTTGTCCACGCAGGGATATGCGTTCGCGATAGTAGGACACGATGTTCGATTCCGCCGGTCCGCTATTCGCCCCAGAATTACTAAGAAGCCCCTCGATCATCCTGATTCTGAGTCGAGGGCGAGCTAACGCGACAGACTTGCGCTGCTGATACGTAGGCCTCGCTCGTTATTTTACTCTCACGACATTGCGCGTAAATCACTATTGCGTAAATAGAACGCGATGCATGTTGAATCATGACGGGTGTGTGCAATTAGGTTGTTACTTAAATAAATATTCATTAATTGGACACGCCGCGTATATTAGTCCCGCACGTTATGGCAATTACAACACCGTCGGTCATTTAAACGCGTTAAAAGTTACGCCGCTCGGATAAATATCTATCAATTAGATACGTTATTACGCTGTGTTTCAGTTGTTTGCGTGGGATAATTAATACATATTTATTCGGGTGACATGGTCGCGCTGGTATGCCGACGAAACGAGCGAACATGATCGTCGCCGCGTCCCCATGTCTCCCTCGTTCCCTTGTCTACCTTGTCGTTCGGAGACGAATCGTTAGAAATCGTTAGAAATCGCGCAACTTATCGCGGTAACGCGTATATCGCGGCTATTGGCTCGCGAAGTGGCGACTTTAGAAGCGGGCTTTCTGAAATACGGGGGCGAATGGAGTTGCCGGAAAGTATTAATGCGAGGTATGAAGTAAGATAAGTGAGCCGCGGCGGCCGTTACGCGTTCCCTCGCGGCCGGATATCCGGGATCGCGAAACTAATTCCAGCCCTCTAATGGTTCTGCCAATAGCAATTTCTGTAAGACTGAATAGTGATTCTCAGATATTAAGAGCGAGAAACTTTCCTTCGACGTCGCGAGGGCGAACGCAGGTCTCGCCCGTGCAATTTCCGTTCACACCCTTCTCGCCCTCTCCCCTCCCCCCTCTCTCTTCCTCTCTCGCTTTCTCCCTCCTATCCCATTCTATTCTCATCCTTGTTCCGTTCTTCTGGCTATTCCCGAACGCTCGGTAGAGGCATTAAACACCTAATGGGCTTTTTTTCGATACGTCGATAGCGAAAAGAACCGCAATGATTGATTTTCGTCTAACTACGGCAAAACTTTTTATTTCGAGTGCCGTGAAGAACAATTCAATCTAAACCAGATGGAAACCGCAGAGCCGTTTATAAAAGTCTACCCTTAGTCATTTAATATAGATGCCGTTCGATTATCGTTGAGAGAACCACCGATTTTACAAGGGTTTGTGTAACGCATGGAAAATTGTATAGGGTGTAAGAATATGTATATGCATATATACAAAATATATTTTGAAGAAAATATTTAGTAAACAAAGATCAAAAAATCAAAATGGAAGCACACAAATAACTTGCATTATTAAAACTAGAAATAAATATTTGTAGCCCTAAAAAGATTGATTCTCTTCGACCTCTGTTTAAAAAATGTTTTATTCATTATAATAAATACTATTATTTGTGTACTTAAATTTAATATTAAATAAAATACTAAAATTGTGTGTTTTGCTCTCTCACAAATGCATCCTATTTAATCCAAATAAAAAACAAGGTAATATTGATGAAATCATATGCACCAAGTATTTTGGTTTAAAATACGAAAAAATGTTTTTAGTATACTCTCAGTCTTCTGTTTTTTGTAAAATTTAAACTATTTTTTTGAACATCTTATATATTTGATTGTCCTTTTATTATTTTTATTCTCTCTCTCTCTCTCTCTCTCTCTCTCTCTCTCTCTCTCTCTCTCTCTGTCCCCCCTCTCTCTCTCTTTCTCTTTCTCTTTGTTTTGTTAGAATAGTTTGTATTTATTAAATAAATTCATATATTCGCGTATCGATTACTCGCACCCAGGCAACATTTCATACGTTGAATAATTTAATCGTCATTCGCGCTGTGCGTAGCGAGCGACACTTTTGTAAAAAAACATTTCCAAGTATTTAACTTTATCGTTAATAATCCTACTCTTTCTCGATGCATACATCTCTGATCTGTAGTTTCGCGTTTCGAAGCGCGTTACCGTCCAGCCGTGTTTCTTCCGCGCGTCAATTTCTGACGCGCGACATCTGTACGACATAATCGAGCGATTCATCGGGAATGTGTCGCGAGATACGACTATCGTGCCGGCATCGAGAACACGTCAAGTAGCAAGAAAAAGTGAGAGCAGTTTTATGACAGGATCAGGAGGTAGCGAGACGCATACCGTCGCATCTTGATCGCGGCGGCGGTTCGTTTCTTTCGCGGACCATTATTCCGCGTCGTTACGCCTGAGAATTTATCATTTCGCCGTTCGATATACAAACGATGCGCGCAGTCAGTGTGGTGTGAACGTGCCGATATCGTATCCACTTCCGGCAAATCTCGAGAGATACAGCGTCCCGTGAGCACGTCCTATCGCGACGTGCATCAACGTCGCGGGCAATCTCAGCGCGGTTGCCCAAATTCGCTCGCGCCGCTCGTGCATCTTGAGAGCTTATCTCTTTCGACTTCCCGTTCCCGGACGTGATTTTCAATTTCCTCCTTTCCGTCGGTGAGGACGTCGACAACATCGGCGGCAGCAGCGACGGAGGCGGCGGCGGCGGCGGCGACGACGACGACGACGACGACTACGACGACGACGACGACGACGGCGGCGGCGGTGACGGCGCAGGGCCCGATAGAAATTTTCGGCGAGCCCGCTGATACCAAATTATCTTTCCTTAAGACGCACAATTTACGAGAGGCAATATGGCCTCTCAGTGTCCAATAAAGAATTCCCTTCAGGCCGCGAACAACTGGAAAAAGCGCCGGTCCGGTCCTCAATCGTCCAGCTCCTTTTGTATCTGCACAAAGGTTTTGCCCTTCGTCTCCGGCATAATACGGAGAATTACGGCGGTGCATATCACCACGTTCACGAAGTACCACAGAAAGGGCGGCATCGGGCCGTAGCCCCATTCGACGGCTATCAGAATGTAAGTCTTGCACGCTATAATGTTAAAGACTGCGCTGGTGATGCCTTCGACGCAAGTGGCGAGCGCCTTGATCTGGATGGCGAATATCTCGGACTGTACGGTTATGTAGAGACCCACCGCGCCGCAGTTGTTGGCACATATCAGTATTATTGTCATGATAAAGAGCACCATCAAGTACGCCGACATGTCCACGTACAAGTAGTCCTTTGCGTAGAAAAACATGGCAATCACGCCATGAGATTCACCAGGAGATTCGCGGCCGCTACGACGACACCGGAAAATAACAGTAACTGCCTGCGGCCCATCCGATCGACCAACAAGCGGCCAACAACACAAAGATTACTTGCACCACGTCAAGCACTATGGCGATCGTATGATCGAAGAAAACGTTCAGCTCATTCGTCAGCGATTTGAAGATGAGTTGAACATACGAGAGTGTAGAAGCCGCTGAATTATATGTTGGACAGGATAATATTGATGATAAAGGCACGCCGATTGGCACGCACGGTTAACAGCTCCCTGAATCTGCGTGTTCTCCGCCGGCTATTGGACTTGACCGTTTCGAGGACGAGCTCCACCTCGTCCGAGACATCTGTCTTGCCGCGCAGCTTCTCCAACACCGCCTCAGTGTCGTCTGTTCTGCCTTTCATGGCCATGTAATACGGTGATTCCGGCATAAAGCAGAACATGACGAGGAAGACGACAGTTATGCTCATGAAGATGGCCGATATTGACATATATGGCACAGTCACGTAAGCTATGAGAATACCGATGTTGAATAAAATTGAATTTAGCAATAGCGTAGTCCCTCGCTAGCACGGCTACTTCTGTGACTTCCGCGCTGTATATCAGCAGAAGGTTGATGAATATGCCGATAGCTATGCCATTCAAAAATCTCATCACGTATATGACTTACAAAATGTAAATTTATGAAATGTTTACGCATTCCAATTTTTTTCAGGTACAACGTTCTGCATGTTTTGCTACTGTTTCTATTAATGTTGGATAAATTCCTAACGTCCAAAACAAGACGACTCTTTGACCAACTACTTGGTTTTCAGAGCAATTACTCCAGATAACTATTAGGAAACTGACACCCAAAATATACGTACATAATACGTACAGAATACGTACAGAGAAAATATTGTAATAAAAATTACAAAATTTTTGTAATCTTGAACCATATACAGAATTATAGCTGGAATTACTATATATGTTTAAAAATATTATACACGTTTTATAGATTTTCGCACAGAGGGTTAAGAAGCATTCGCCGATAATGTTCACGAAGCAATTCGCGCGTCAAGAATATATTCGTCTTACTCAAATGTTCATAGCGATCATGATAAAGCCCCAGCCAACTGCCATTGGCAACGCATTCATCAGCATGATTTTTTCCTTCTTAGTTTATCGACTAAGTACATGCTTAACAACGTATCAGGTAACCGATGGAGATCAAAACTACCAAGATATTAGCGTCGGAGGCGATAACCGGAATCAGCGAGTTCGGCGCCGTGAGTACTATGATACCGAGCGAGTTCCATCCGTGAACCAATCCGTTGACCATGCTCATAATCATACCTGAATTTCGCAAAATTGCAACGCGTCAATGTCACGGAGCCCGCGAAGCAGAACAAGTTCGCGAATTCGTCGCACAGAATAAGAATCGCTTTTACAGGTGAAGCAGATTAGTTACGTTCAGGTCTTTGAGCCTTCCGACTTCGTGTACTTTCCCTTCTCGACACTTATCTCTTTTATGGCAGTGTGGTAACACGTCAAAGGAACGCGTCGAAGACAAAGAGAGCGGAAGAGGTTTGATTTCGCGATCTCGCGATACTGAAATATTAGGTTGAAGCTATCAAGATAACACAATGAATCGCGCAGTTGACGTCAAAATACGACATGAGGCCGCCTCGACTCTGAATTTATTTACGATAGCAGTCGTGTACAAGCATTCGACATCTCGTCGGTAGATCTTGACTTCTTCGTCTACCCTCCGTACTTTCGTAATCAAATATGCCCGTTCCCCGGTCTTAGCATGTATGTTACATTGCGTTGTCACCGTCGTCTTCGAATAATACATGTCTTATCCCAAATGAGCCAATGTCTTATTCGTGTGCTCGCGATCGAGCGGAATAATTTCAGTGAATTTCCGCATCAAAACTAGTTGATTTGACTCGTTTATTTCGTAGGAGTGGCCATCAAACATCAATATATCATTAATAAAGTATATTATACTAGCATTAATATGATCTCTCTCGTACGAGAAAAGGGAACATAATCCTACGCAAATACGACGGGAATGTCGATAAAGAACGCTAAAGCAGGTCGCGCATATGATGAATTATATGACTTTCTGGTTTTCTTTTTCTCTTCACACTTGATTGCTTTAGTTATAAAATATGCTTGTCAAGACGTTAAATATTGAGATAAAGTGATACAACACTAAACACATCTAACATTATTGCATGAGGCACTCCATTAATAGATATTAACTCTTTAAGTATCACTGGTACCAATAGAGACCACTTAGGATCGGGCAGTTGAAACCTTATAAATGTGCTGTTTAGAGTATTTTTTACAATATTTCATTTAAAAAAAGTTATTACTAGTTAAAAAAAGTTATTACTTAGTAAAAGTTATTACTTTTACTAGTTAGTAAAAGTTATTACAATACTAGAATGTTTCATGAATTTTGCGCCTTAAAGGGTTAAATTAATTTTCACATATTTGTACTCGTCTATGCTATTACTGCTATGTCTTTGTACTCTGCTTTATTTTCATTCATTTACGCTTCACAAAGAGCGCGAGCGCTTCTCTCCCACGAAATACATCAAGAATATTTTATGACGCTTTACCCGATATTTTTATCAGCAACCCGATAATTGCTCACGCGATTGTATTATGCTGTTATGGCATCTGTTTCACTGAATTAATTTTCACAGTGTCGATCAGTACGTTATATTATTGTTCGTGTAGTCTTCTTATTCTGCACTATTGAGCAAAATGGTCACGTTGCTGCATGTTTGTATTTTGATTATTACAATATAAAAAAAGTATACGGTTGGCAGAGGGTTGTGACGGCCATTAACATATAGAAAAAAGCTGCCTATATCATATTTGTATAGTCACTCACAACAATTAATTGTCTCAGACATTGTAACTTCGAAATTCTGGAATATAGGACATTTAGTCCCAGTCTCTCCTACTTTTGTGGCAGGATGCTCTCTTGCTAGAAGAAATTTTTACATTCAGTTTGAAATAGGTCTCAATGGTTAACATGTGTCTCATGAATCTTTAAATATGAAAGCTCACAAATAATTCTCGAGAAAATTCCAATAACAAGATACGTGTTCAAAAGATAGACCCATATTTTACAAACCTTCTCTCGCTTTCTATCACGAGCATTAAAGCGGACGAAAAGTAAATAACATTTATCTGCACTGTGAAAATAGCCACGACTAGAGACTTCATCTCGACAGGACAGATTTGCCTCGCGAACAAGAAATAACCGCGCGCGTGCACCGATTGAACTTCGATATCGCAACAATCGATAACAAATATCGACGGTTCCACCTGTCAGATTTATAGACACGTAAAGTTCTTTAATGACCCTTCTGCTCAATAAAATTCGATCCGGTTCTTTGACACTCGATATTTCTAGTCATGTTCATTCAACTCAATATAATTGTCTCCGAGCAACAATATAATTGTCTCACCAAAAGAAGAACTCCCTCCTATTTTCAAATTTCGGCGAAACAAATATTTATAAGAGAGAAGTAGTTCGTACATTCGATCCGAAAGTACGTACTATTACATTTTTAAACACACGTCGTAACACACAAATATAAACCGACGATGGAAGGAAAACGCCAGGTGCTCTAATTCCATTTGTAGTTTCATCGCAGTACATACGGCTGTCGCTATTGGTGGACGATTACTCTCGGCAGGCAGGCACAGTTTTACATACTTTTGCTCGCGCAATGCCCGCACTGATTCCGCCGTTTTCGTTAGAAAAAAAAAAACAAACGCACAACGGCGTCGACGGCGCCGTACGCTATTGTTTGCATGGACCGACTCCTGTTTTTAACGTAGTCGCGCGCTGTTAGTAGAACAAATATTTTTACGCGGGCGTGCATGAAACCGATGCGCACCCGCCGCGTTGTTTGCGAGAACGCTATTGTGTGTTAACCACGGAGAGTCCTCTTCCTTGCCGCAACAACGATGACGGAGACAGCGGCGGCACGATTTTCCTCCGACTAACGATACAATAACGCGTTTCCCACGTTAGAAACAGAATTACGGCAGACTAGCTAACTGGAATTCGGCGTGTTCACGCCCAGCTGCGAAATCGTCGACTAAACTCGGGTTTAATCTAGCAGCGGATTAGTAATATATCGGATTGACGAGCACGCATTTGCCGCCAATTATTGGCTTGTAATTAATTCGATATATAGCAGAAGCGGGCTTGCCTTCAAGGTTGGCTCTTTCGAAAATTGCATGGACGCGAAACGCGTCCAAACGAGTACCCGGAACTAATAAAAACGTTTGGTTCGTTTTTCTTCTTTTCAGTGAAATTTGACTTCGTTGCGTTCGATGAAAACGAATATCCCAAAAATAACTCTAGTTGCAAGATGCTATTTCCTGTGTAATACCATACTCTAAGCAAAAACTTTTACCGAAAAAAGTATTTCTTTTTTAATGAAGTGGACTATAAATTAATTGGAAATCTATTCGATACTATTCTAACTTTGTCCTTGTGAATCAAGAAGAGTATATTTAGAGGTCTAAATGACCCCAGAGATATATTGTTCGATTTTTTTTAGTATTTATTTTAAAAGGAATAGTGATATACAAAATCGCGAAATGGACTTTTTAGAACATAGAACACTTTTTCCCTGAATTTTATTAAAATTGAAATAGTGAAAAAATAGAAAAAAAACTGTTTATTAATTTAATAGTAATAAAGTAAATTTTCGAATCTCTCCAAATTTTGTATTAATATTCTCTATTTTGGGAGCGAATAAAGTTAAGCGACGTGTTACTAAGCTAAAATACAGTTACTTGTAAATCTATAATATTATATGTTGTTTCGAATAATAAAAACAATTTTCGTTTATAAAGAGATTGAAATCAAACATATAAGCAGACAAAATAAAGTTAGCCTATATTTAAAGACCGGTAGAAGGATTATGAAGACCTCTTGCGGTGACCCCGAAACTACTAACCAGGATACATATTTTATATGTGGCCTTTTTTGCCTTGCGCTACCGGAAAACTTAAGCAAGCTACCAAAGCAAGGTGGCTACGTTGCTGCATGTTTGTATTTTGGTTATCATAAAACAAAATATGCATGAAACTTTAACTGCGAACATGTTTTACTGTAAAAAAATGTTATGTTAAATTTTTGTATAATTTTAAGCATTTAAGCGAATAAACTCTTTGAGGATATTATGTTTAGAATATTTTCCTCTTAGTTTCAGAAGAATCCTCTTGAGAGCATATGTAGACTAAATTCCGTTAAGAATGAGATTATATTTTTTCGGGTGAATTATTTATTGTGTCCAAATAATCACCGTCATCGTCGATTATCTCTCACTAGCATTTCACAACGGAATATAATCAACATTGCTACCTGCGTTACATGTGTATGGCGCTTTTTATTTTCAATTTTAATTCTGATTCATTTCATTTATTTTTACTTGAAAATCGAACCGAACAACTAACTTGATACAAACGCAGTCATGGTTTACAGAAGAAAAAGAAGAAGATTCGTTCCACCCATAACACTCAATAAGAAGAGTAGCCAAGAATCCGAATGAACAGTACGATCGTGAGAAGCAATGCTATTACACGATTATTCGAGGATCTTATCTAATTGTTCCTCTCGCTTTCGCGTGAAATTGCATCGACTCACGCTTACGAGAAGGACTCACGGTTTCGAGCGAGACTCGTCTATTCTTTCCGTCCTTCGCCAATACGAAGCAGTCGACAATGCAATTAACCGTCCAAATAAGGGAGCGCACTTTTCTAAGATTGTGTAGAAATTCGATCGCGAAGTTCACAAGCGTCTCGACTAGAGAGAAAGAAAGAAAGAATCAGCGAGTTTTGCTGCGCCAATGACCCGTCTTTAAGTTAGAGAATTCGCACCCACCTTCGCCGTCGCGCGACCTTTTGCTAAGACATATTCGCCAGGGATGCGTTGCGGTATTCGTTTGAGCATGCGAGAGGGATAAACATCGCGGAGGGATGAAACGCCCGAATTCCATCACTTTAGCGAGATACTGCTACTGTCGTCCCCGAAACAACCTGCTCGGAAATCGATTGGTCTCTCTCTCTCTCTCTCTCTCTCTCTCTCTCTCTCTCTCTCTCTCTCTCTCTTGCCTGGACCGATGAGACAGGTTTCTACATTGATATTCAGTAGCGGGCGTCGTCTCGTCGAACCGTCAAGAAATTTTACTCGGGACATCGCAACACGCCTTCCCCGTGGAATCGCTAAGTTCCGCGTCGACAACGGCGCACGGGATATCGAATAATTATACGAGTCGACGTAAGTAACCCGACAAC